GTTCAAAACACTTAACTTTGAGGAATTTTGGGGCATTAAACCTAGTGTTTTGAAAGGACACAATTTTTTTCCATCTTTCGCAAGGTGACGAAACTGTACAGGATTTCCTCGCGTTACCAAGTTATTTTTTAGAAGCCTATTGTAGTTTTACCACTGAATATAATAGTACCCCTTACTCGCTACGCAGGACGCTCGATTAACGGATGCCAAGTGCCAACATAGTCGCTCTAAAACTCTGGGCGCCAAACCGTGTATTAACGAAAATTGTACCCTACATGGCGCCGCCCATAAGAAACTTTAGTTTTCTTTTTCGCAGAAATATTCTCGGGAGTATTCTCATCTACTCCCTAAAGTTTCATGGCATTCCGATGAACTGCATCCGAGTTTTATTTTTTATATACCGTGTATAGAGAAAAGAATCGCTCCCCCCGGGGGCACCGCCCTTGCGATATTAAAAAATATTTTTTTTTGCAGAACCCTACCATTGAGTGATCTAATCATCTCCCCAAAGTTTCATGGTACACGAATGAACGGTGTGAAACCAAAATAGACTTTTTATTTTATAAACCGTATATAGAGAAACTACAATCGCGCCCTGCCGGGGCGACACCCCTGCGAATTTGAAAATGTTTTTAGCGCAGAAACCTCCCCAGGAGAATTCTCAACATCTTCCCAAAGTTTCATGGCGATCGTGTAAACGTTGTCACTGCAATTCACGTTCATTATTTTTATAAACGGTATATAGAGAAAAATCGCACCCTCCCGTGGCGCCGCCCTTGTGAAATTAAAAATGATTTTTTTTACAGAACCCTTCCTTAAAGTGTTCTAATGAACTCATCGAAGTTTGATAGCGATCAGATGAATGGTGTCAAAGTAAAAATCAACTTTTATTTTTATATACCGTATATAGAGAAAAACAAATCGCGCCCCGCCGGGGCGCCACACCTGCGAATTTGAATTGTTTTTTCGCAGAAGCCTCCCTAGGAATATTCTCAACAACTTCCCAAAGTTTCACCGCGATGTAATGAGAGGTATAGTAATGCATAAAGGACAAAAGGACAAACAAACAAACAGACAGACATACATTGTTATATATATATATATATATATATATATATATATATATGACATAATTTAATTGAATTTGATGTACACAAAATAGAGGTACAAACAAACAGACAGACATACATTGTTTTATATATATATATATATATATATATATATATATATATATATATATATATATATATATATATATATATATATATATATATATATATATATATATATATATATATATATATATATATATATATATATATGGTAAAATCTTAGTTTAGCGTCGTAAATTCCAACGTAGCGAGTAATGAGCGATGAAGGTAACTAATGAATATTTCTTTAATTTAGCCATATTTATGTCATATTTTACATAATATAACAGATAATTGAATAACAAATCACAATCCAAGACCAAACCAGTCATAAATATCATGAAATAAACTTTAAACTATCCCGTTCGAGACGACAATGAGTAAATACAAGCACCGGCCATGTTTCAAAAACAATAATAGAGTAGTTTCCCTTGAAAAATTGTCTATTCGCATGTCTTTTGTGTTGATTTTGTGGTTTAATATGATTGTTTAGTATTGTTATAATATATGCCTGGGGGTCGTCCATAAATGACGTCACACTCGTAGGGAGGAAGGGGGGTCCGTAATTTTGAGACGGAGTGTGATGAGGGGGAGGGGGGGGGGGGTTCTGATGGTGCCACGTCACACTTTTGCATTATAAAAAAGCAATGTTAGAAAACGAATTTTAGACGTTATTTTGCGTTTTAGAAAACTGTTTTAATACATTGTAGTAACAATTGATTAAAATACTCTATTTTGACAGAGTTCAGACAAGATTTTGGAAAAATATAGCTGTTTAAAAAAAATTCAACTGCAATTTTGAGGGAGGCTGAGGTGTGACGTCATTTTAGGGGGGGGCGCTGGTTTTTGTGACGGAGGGGAGGGGGGGGAGGTAAAAATCGTCAAAAAAAGCGTGACGTCATTTATGGATGACCCCCCTGTATAGTAATTTTTTTTCAATATAGTTGACATGAATGACTAATAGACCTTTTCAGACTTAATAGTGTGCATCCAAGACCACAACAATTGTTGGGAGGTCGAACTTTTGAACACTTTATTTGCAGTAATCAAATCAATATGAGATCGCTCATAAATGACGTCGCTCTTAGGATAGTAATGACAGTGTGCATTATTACAGAACAAACATATGAACATATTGTTTCAGATAGAAATTGTGATTTGTGGTGGGGAGAGGTTGAGTAGAACTCAGCGATGTGATTTTGGAGACGGGTCAGGTTTTTTTTTTCGTGAAAACAGGGGATGGTTGTGGGAGAAAGACCAGCTGTAGAAGTATGACGCGTCATTCATTGGTGATCCATTTTCTCAGTGGGGACGATAGAACCATTAAGAAGGGTCAAGAAATATAAAAAGCTTGCTGAGTCGCATTTCTTGAACCCCACCTTTTTCATTCACCCACTTAGTACATCGTCACAGAGTTAACGCTCGCATGTGACGTCATGTACCGGTACCGCCGACCGTTAGGCTAATTTTATATAAAAAAAAACAACAAGCACTGCCTTTTTGACGCTTATGCGACGTTTAATTTGATTACATAAGTTGGTGTTCATTAAACAGCCCCTAACACACCTATCACTAGTCCATATAAACGTACGTGGTTATTTCTGCAAGCTTGCTGTCTTGAGACATTCGGCCCTTTAAAAATGTATTAAGCTCTCACCGTATAGAACTAGACTACCCATATTAAGCTCCAAAAGAAGCTTGGTGAAAATGGCCGTCCGATTTTGAAGCTGCTATGCGCTTTATAAAAAGCACAATAAACGATAAAATTACACTTATATTAAAGTAAATTATAGTTCTGAATCTTGATACATTAAAAGTGATATTCGGAAATTAAGAGCCAGACAGTCAACATGATATTTCAATTTAAGTCCAAGAAAAAAAATGTCCTCAAACGATGGAACATTACTAAATTTTCGCGCAGTTTAGCGAAATTGAATTTAAGTATTTACGTCATCTTACAAAGCGCGATAGCCTACTGGTGCTCTAACGCGGCCCATGCTAATGGCCGTATTCCTAACGCCCCGCATTAGACGCCGCTTATTCGTCGGCAGGCATTTGGTGGCAAGCCTTTTTGACGGGGATAATGTGTTAAGTTAAGGCCGTTTTGCCAAATGTCTTAAACTAGCAGGCTTGCAACATTTGTGATGATTAGTTTTAAGCAAGGTATACGCATACTAATGCTTAGTTATCGTTATTTTGATTGAACAAAGCATTATAGAGGTTCTCCATCAACCACCTAGGTATTTTTCCCCGTTCACCTCCTTTCATGAGACCGACACGTCATAAATTACGGAACCGCCTGAGTTGACGTCACAAATCTTCACTCACTCCCATAGCAAATCATATGTGACATCATTTATGGACAACCCCATATCACTCACTTGGGTACTTGAATTGACATTTTGACAACAAAGGATAACCAAAATGTGTCTGACAGGTAGAGACTTGCGATCGACCATAATGACAACACGCACTTAAGGGGTGGAGTGGCTGATTATTTTAGATGATGTTTTACGAGGGAAGCTGGTGGATAATACATTTTGTCTCTCTGTATATATAAATGATGACAAACATTTATTGAATTGTTGTCAAAATTATGGCTAGAGATCTTAGATATGGCAGAGCGAAGAGTAATATTTTACATTAGGGGTCATCCGTAAATGACGCCACGCTTTTTTTGGCGATTTTTACCTCCCCCCCCCCTCCGTCACACGTCGTCACAAAAAGCCAGACCCCCCCCCTAAAATGACGTCACACCTCAACCTACAACCCCCCTCAAAATTGCAGTTGAATTTTTTTTAAACATCGATATTTTTCCAAAATCTTGTCTAAACTATTACAATTTATTAAAACAGTTATCTAAAACGCGAAATAGCGTCTAAAATTCGTTTTCTAACATTGCTTTTTTATAATGCCTAAATGTGACGTCGCAACATCAGAACCCCCCCCCCCCCCTCCCCCTCATCACACACCGTCTCAAAATTACGGACCCCACTTCCCACCTACGAGTGTGACGTCATTTATGGATGACCCCTTATGACTTGTGGTGACATTGACAACAAAAATATGACGGAGGTTGGAATTTAATTAAGGTAAAGAGAAGTAAAAAATGTCATAAGTTACGATAGAATCACTAATTGATGAAAAGAAAAACCTGAAATGAAAATAATGAAATTCAAACAATAAGAAAAAACTCAAACTATATAGTAATAGTAAGATCAAATAAACATTAGTAAAAAAACGTGATTTAAAACATGGATACAAGTTGCGTCTCACAATGCTTCTAGAATTAATAAAGTTGTTTGTTAGGAAATTCAGTTTTTAAAGAGCAGAATTTAAAAAAAAATGTTTTGTAATACGGACTATACAACAAGACAATCATATTTAAATACATTTTCATACGAATAGAAATGAAAGGGAAGCTACTCTAAATAACATTTTCTTAAGATGGCTGCTGTTTTTAATAGCAAATTTACTATCTCGAACAGGGTTGATAAAAATTAATTTCATGATATTTAAATTGATTTAACCATAAATGGTGATCTATTATTCAATTATTTATAATATTTTATCAAAATATACGAAAATATACTCATATTTAATGACATATTCATTAATGCACTCTCTCCTACATTACTAGTTTTGGCCGAATTTACGACGCTAAACTAAGATTTTACCATATATATATATATATATGACATAATTTAATTGAATTTGATGTACACAAAATAGAGGTACATTTTAATATTTTGATCTGCACTTGTTTTGTTGTGATTTTTAATTAAATAGATAAATGTTTCACAAGTAACAGCACCTAAAACGACCAATGTCATTGATACATAAGTTATTTTGAAAAACAACAAATTGAGTCAATACATACAATAAAAAGTTCATTAATAGAATACAGCAGTTCTTTACAAAATACAAATTTAAGTTTAAGCATTGGGAGATACAATATTCTTCCTGAAGTTACATAAAAAAACATACCTTAAGTATTTGAGTAGCTAGTCTACTTTCTGTTGAATTTAAAGGCTGTTTACAAATTTTGTAAACTTTTGCCATACCAATAGTCCTTTCAACATGAACCCTTTTGCTTGAAATGAACTCCTTTTATGCCACATATTTATTTCCCCCCACTGAACAGCACAAAAATTAATCCATGTAATAAATATATTTTGAACAGTATAACTGGAAATATCAAACATTCTAGCAAGTTCAATTACAGGGTAATGCTGCCTTAATCTAATTAACATTAATAAAAGTTGGTCATGTGTACACAGACATTCACAAGACTGTGTATAAATGTAATTTAATTTATCAACCCCTCTCCCTAATGACCACAACATAGTAAAAAAAGTCGCTGTACTGTCCAAGTCAGTGTAGTGATTGACAAGTTTGTTATTGTCCTTTATCCTTTCAAATGAAAGATAACGTTGTTTAACTGATTCTAATACATTTATCTCCTCTTCTGTGGTATTACTGCACCCAATAGCTATTACTTCTGGACCTGGGTCTTCACAGAACTCACCAACAATTTCTTCAGCCCCAATGTCTAGGTTGCACACGACCATTTCTGATGTTCCTGGGTCTTCAACTGTTGATCCTTCTCCCAAGATACTTTTCACCACAGTAATGTTGTCCTCTTGGTGGGGTTCCGCAGTTTCTGTCCTTTCTCTTCGTTTTAATAGCCTTCTTTTTCTAGCCACTTCAAGTGTCTTGGGGGATATTGTCCATTCAAAAATAGATGGCACTGCCATCTTTTTCAAACATTTAAGAATTCTGGGATTGCCTGAAATAAATATTTTATCATAGAATTAATATAAGCAGTTTTTCTGGCAATGGTTAATTCAATTTAGAAATAGTAATTTTAAATTTATGCCAGGTCTCTTTTACTTCTCTCTTCTTCTTTGTTCTTAATTATTAGTGTTGTTATTATTATTATGCCAGGTCTAAAGTAATAGAAATCGAATGGCGGACCTAGATTATAATGAATGATTGTAATGAATAATAAAGTAGGCCTAATCAGATAATTTGACCTACTTAATAAATTACCAGAATTTATGCCTAATCTAAAATTAAAGACCTATTATTAAATTTAAAATAAATAGGCCTAGGGTCTATAAAATGGTAATATTTATTTGAGAGTATAGGCCTATAGATTATTGAGTAGCGTGGTAATAGTAGTCTAGATAGAGATGTAAGACTACGATTGGTGATTAGACTAAGAGTACAGGCAACACTTAGTTCAAGGCCTACGATTCTGACATATGATATATATAACACATAGGCCCTATACTATTTGTATTAGATTAGAATGATTAGAATTACTGAATTAGTATTAGACAGAATTAATTTTTAATAGCTTTTAAACTGTTAATAATAGCCATTAATAAATAGTAAATGAAATAGGCAGGCCTAGATAGATGCGATCCATCTGGAACGAAGTTCTTTATTTTTGGGGAATAGGTGTCCACCTTTTCCCCTACACTTTGGTGCAGCGCAATATGCTGCCATTTTTCAGACTTATACACTTTTAGGTAATCTATCGTTTTAGCGTAATCAATTCGGTCGTCACTAGCAATGTAGGGATAAGGTAACTAATAAATATGGCTTAAATATGAATATATTTTTGCATATTCTACTAAAATACTAAAGATAATTGAATATTAAACCACATTTAAGGGTTAAATCAATAAAAATGTCATGAAATTAAGGTTTAACAACGATGTTCCAGATACTAAATTTGCTATTAAAAACAGCAGCCATCTTAAGAAAATATTATTTTGAGTCATTTCCCTTTCATTTCTATTTGTATGGAAATGTATTTATGTTTGCTATTAAATACGTTTGTCTTGTGTTTAAATACAAAGCATGCGTTTTTTTTTAATTCTGCCCTTTAAACAATTTAATTGCCTGACAATAAACATCAGTTCTACAATTATTATTATGATATGCAATTTTTATGCATAAGAAACTCCCTATTTTTATAGAGCTACCACTACATATCTAATGTTTATTTAAATATTAGTTTGAGTTAATTGTTATTGCTTGTGTCATTGTTTGTTTGCTATTTTCATTTCATATTTTCATGCTTTTTTCCTTTGATTAGTTATTAAATCATAAATGACGTCACGTTTTTTTTTACCTATCTTCACCTTAACCCCCCCCCCCCCCTCCCCCCATTTTCGCCGTCACGAAATAGTCGTAATGTCGAAAATTACCTTTTTGCCCTGCCTGTTAAAAAGTCAAGCCATAATTCAAACGAAAAAGAATTTTTTTTCAGCATTTTTGTATTAGGCGAAATACTTAATGTTTCCCGTTTCTTACCCCTCCCCTTTCCCGCGTAAAACGTCGTCTCAAAATCAGTTACCCCATCCCTTAAGTGCGTGATGTCATTTATGATAAATGTCAAGTCCTAACCTCCAATACACATTTTGAACAACCTTTGTTGTCAAAATGTTGATACCAAATACCCAAAATGAGTTATATGGGGTTGTCCATAAACGATGTCACATATGCTATTCTAATGTGACGTCAAGTTACGTAGGACTGCAATTTATGACCTATAATGAAGGGGTGATCGGGGGGGGGGGGGGGAATGAGTGACGTCAATTATGGAAGACTTCTATAAAGCTGTGCTCAATGAAAATGAGGAACATAAAGCGTTCGTTTTCATGCATGCCTTTGCTCATAACGAATGATCATAACTATTGCAAGCCTGTTGTCCTAAGCGGTGTTAAAGTTAAACAACCTCAGCACATCATCCCCGCCAAAAAGGGCCTGCCACTAAATGCCTACCGACGAAAATAGGCCGCACTACATTGACTCCAAATGTAATAACTTCTGACAATAAGGCTCAAACCAACTAGCTCCTGGCAACGATATTCGACAAGAATCCAAGACAATTATTGGCTTGCAGGTAAAATTGGACAAAACAGCAAGTTTCGCGACATGGGGCATAACAAAAGATCAACCCTTAATTCGAAAGCAGCTAATGTAAAAAGCCAGAGCTCAGTATAGGCTTGAGTTTAATATAGAAATAGTGTTAGCAGAGGACGGTGCATTAGGAATACGGCAGTCGGCTAAACGCTCGAGTCCGACGATGTCTGAACATCAATTTTGTCTTTTATAAAGTGCGGAGCACCTTTAAGAGCTGAGCTTGGGGAGGGGGGGGGGGGGGTCCCTTTTGACACCACCACTATCGCCGCTTATGTCCACATATCAATCTCAAGTTTTACGTGGAGCTTAATGGGCAGACGAAGTTTATAGGTGGGACTGGGAGCCTAAATGCATTTACGGAAGCCGCTGTGTCACGGGCATTTTACAGCCGAACGTCTCAGGGCAGCAGGTTGCAGAAATTAAAAGCACGTGAATTTGTATAGTAGAGGGAGCACCGCATGCCACTGTAATAAATTAAACACCAATTTAATTTACCGAACTAAAGTCATTTAGATCTATTCGTCAGGCTAAACGTCGCTCAAGTCTCAACTCCATAGTGCCTGTTTTGATTTTTTTTTAATTACGCGGTATCTCTTTCTTTAACATTAGCCTAATGACTAATGACGTCACGCGCGCCGAGAACTTGGTGACGTTGTGCTAAGTGGTGGATGAAACGGCGGGGTTGAGAAAAATGACGTGTTTCTTTTTTTAACAGACGAATAAGTGATAGATTCTAATTCTCCTACGAACCATAGGTTGATCTAGTTTTTTTTTTCTAGATGGAGATATCACCATATATTGAGTGGTTTTTGTTTTTGTAATAATGGATGGTGGGGAGGGGTAAACAACGACTATTGAACAAATAAAAAACCATGTGGTATTCAAATGTAACTAATTAAAATTTAAAACTATTTTTATAAACACAATAATCTTAATTCAGAAAAAGTGTAGGCTTAAGACTAATGTCTACAGACAAAATAAACAACTAGGCTTAAATGGATCACCCATAAACAGTGCCGGCGCCAGATTATTATAGGCAAAACTTATTAAAAGCGCCCCCCCCCCCCCCGCAATTTTTTTCATGCCCCCGTACTATCAGAGGCGTAGCGACCCTTCCAGCGCCCGGGGACAAGCTTACGATTTGCAACCCCCCCCCCTCAAACTTTCAATTTGTTTTTCCAACCCATTTCTGCGTCCCCCCCCCCCCCCCCCCTACGAACAGCGCCCTAGGCGACAGCCTAGTTCACCTTATAGGTAGCGCCGGCCCTGTCCATAAATGACATCATACTTTTCCCGACGAATTCCCTTTCCCCAAATCGTCACTAAAAGCGAGATGATGATTTAATATCATATCGCAGTTCTACTATACCCGAACGCGTAACCACAATTTCTAACGAAAACGAATATATTGTTCATCATTTTAAAAAAAAATATTTTACCCGTCCCATATTTTGAGTCCAACGTCATTTATGAAGAATATGGACGACCTAATAATTGACAAGTTCATCAGTACAAAAGGGTTTAATAAATGATGGACCTCCCAAAAGTTTTTGAGATCTTGGATGTACATACATACATAGCCTTCATTTCAATTGAAATTAAAGATAAGAAGACGGCCCTCTGTACTACTTACATTAAACAAGACAGCTATGCATATTAAACAACAAAATCAACACAATATACGTACGAATAGACATTTTTATCAAGGGAAACTACTCTAAATTTTATTTGGAAAGAGTACAATAATTGGGAGTACAATAACTAGAAAAGCTATCCAGTAAATAGTACAATACTATTTATGTATTTAAATATCAGCATACATGTTTGTTTACAAATGGTTTAACCTTGGTGTACGTGTCGCCACCTAGTGTCAAGGGTGGCTACTCTGCGTAGCAATATTGACCATTCTTTGTGGCGCCACCTACCGGCGTTTTCTGAAAAATACAGCCCATTTTAAAATAAAGATGGCAGCTGTTTTTCAGATGATGTTGAGATTGCGTAATTCAGAAAAACGTATCCATTAAGCTGTTATTTTATTATCTGGCGCTTGCACGGTAATATTCATTCAGGATGATTTTAGATACTGATGTCCGATAATAGACTCATCCATAAAATAGGTGTGTTGGGTTGTTAGATGTAGATCTAGATCTAGTAGATCTAGTAGTAGGCTTTTCGACTCGCCGCCATCTTGCGATCCAAACTTTATCCGGACTTTTTCATGCGTACTTAAAAAAAATTCGCCATTCCGATGAATGCCAATTCTAGCCATCAGAATCGAAAAATTAAATATATTCGATACTATCATATGCGTTGAATTTTATCATTTAAATGTTTCATTGATAGAAGTAGCTGTTTACAATACTCGATACTGAAAGCGACCTAACGATGATAGCGAAAATCGATGGAAACCGCGCAGTACCGAACCGCTACTTTCGGAACGAAATTTCGGCTTTAAAAAAAGAGAATAAGTACAGGAACCTAGTAAGTAAGTAATGCCAAACCATTTTGATGGATGGAAATGTTGGTTTTATGGGCTTTAGAGCTCTTTATATACGAGATAATGCTTCTTGCGTGAAGTGATATAGTCTTCTACTTTCTAGACGCAATTTTAAAAATGGCGGCCGAGTTAGAATTTTCATGACGGCCCATAGACTAGGCATGAAATAGAAAATTCGCACATTATTATTATTGATGTTTAACAGTGTTTATTGGATTGGCAAGATCTAAGCTTATAAAATAGGTTTTTATGGATTAAATAAAATTTAAAGCTGTGGAATTAATAGATCTAGATCTAGTCCCATTCATTAATAATCTTCCATATTAGTCAATAGGGTAGGCCTAAATATTGAAATAATAATTAAAATTTTAAATAGGTCCTAGATTCCTCTATCTAGATCTAAATAAATATTGCTGTCCAGTCGAAAGTGACAAAAGTCTAAACTAATTCCATGCCATTTAAATTTTAAACTTTTTATTAGTAGTCTATAGCCTAACCAATGAGTAATATAAAAATCAAATAGAAATACCCTAATAGTTAAAATATAGTACTACAGTATAGAGGCAATGGAAATTTAAAAAAAAAAAAACTAAGTCAAAGATAAAATAAAATAGGAACATTTAGCACTTTAACAATATGATCTAAAAATCTAAAGCAACAGTACTACATTTTTTTTAAAGTAAAACAGAAAACAGAAACAGTTACACTTTGAACAATGTAATATAATTTTACTTAAAAATAACAAACTAAACAACAGCAGGCCAAATGTTTTTTATATAGATCTAGTAGGTTCAGATCAGCAAATAAGGCAGCTGTAGTGTATATCCTTCGGTTGCCACACACCTCGTCTAGTTTCTGTTACACTATTTATTGATTAGCAATCCTTGGATACTTATTAGAGTAGCCTACAACTAATGCTACTAATATTTAGATACTTCAACATAATCCTAAACATATAATATTTCAGTATGAGTGTAATACCCAGGTATTATTGATGCAAAATTTCTTTTTCTTCTAGCATGACAATGTATTAACCATTAATGTCCCATTCATTCTACCAAAACCCCACCCATGACGGCCCAATGTAAGGAGCATAACTCTGTATGATCAAGTGAATAGTTTCACAAAATATTTGTTTTTGTCTAAATGAAATTGAAAATTAAGATAAAAACTACTGCTTAATGTTGGGAATAAACCTGGCTTTCCAACAGTATTAAATAGAATATATTATATTCGGTAGGCTTACAAGTACAGAATAAAAATAAAAAATGTCGGAGAAAATTCAAAACAGGTCATTTTCGGTAGTCAACTTTGTTTATTTTTGTCTAAACAACTATGCATCGAATTTAACAGATAAATATCAATTTGATTATCTTTAAGATATATAATTCATAAAATACATGCCTAGATACGTTTAGAGGCATTATTTTATTTTATTTGTAATATTAAATCAACTAAAAATTGGACAGATGAGTCTAAAATTTCAAGATGGAAAGAAACTATTATTTTTTATCTTTCAAAAGCGCCATTGAAATTAGAAGACCGGAAAAAGATGCTGAAACTATCCGACTTCCTGTTTAGTTAAAAATTAGGATTTGTAGGCCAAATTTTAATGAAACAAATGTAATTTTTCTATGCGTATTGTAAGCGGGAGTTACGGGACATAAAAGGTGTCGGGCGGCAGCAGGCGTTACGGGACATTAATGGTTAAACTTAAAAGTTTCTATTTCCAACATCCTTAAGCATCTATGTGCTAAGTTTTATCTTTATATCATCAGTAACAACATAGATATGCAGTATGAAAAGTGACTTGTGACAATCATTGTAGAACTGCACCACACACCTTAATTAGGCTTAGTTAAGTTAATTATAAATTCTTTTCCTTTAAATTGATCTTTATTTCACTTGCATATTCCTGTTGTCTACACTCTCTAGCATCAGTATGAACATTTTTTACATTATATGTTTAATAACAACAATGTTATACAAACCCAAAGAAGGGCACTAAATATTTTGCAACTTTACTTGAACATATAAGCTGTTTTACCTAACACTTTAAAAATTCATATAAAAAAAACTACTAAGCCTAGAATGATAATTTTTGTAGCTTATTAAATGGCAGATCCTCTTCTCGATTCTCTGTAAATTTTATCATTCTGTGTTAAATAGAAACATTTTTACCAAAATGCCTATACTCTAGCGATGCTCACTAACTTGAAAGCGTCCTTGGTTGGGTAAAATCACGATATAGCGTCGGAAATTATTTGGTAATGTTCGTTGAGTTTCGGTACATTCGTTACTGTAAACCATAGTTGATTTGACTGTTGAAAGAAAAATAAAGTCAAGTGCATTACATTTATGTTTTAACTTAATTTAATGTTTAACTGACAAAAAACAAGCAACAATTAGTAAATCTAAAATCTAAATATTATTAATAAAGTCGAGTGTAGTAATTAATGTTTTTTTAAGAAACACTGAATAATTATCATTAAAAAAGTTTTTAAAAACCCACGTTTTCTGATTGAACTAAAAAGTAGAAAATAAATACTATACATCACAATAATGCAAGCGATCACTCTACTATATGTAATAGATTGAGTTAATTGTGAGGTCAAGGGAACTCACTCTCTGTATTAGTATTATATTCATATTGTTATCTTGAGTGATGTCCCTTACATGTTGTTATCTATAAATAGTTCTCTCTCGCCACTTCCTTCCTCTTTCTCTCTCTTTGCATCATGGCTGTCTGTAAATAATAAAGGCTGTTAACAACCAATGTGGCTCCTCGTCAATCTACCTCATATTGGCGACGAAGGATAAACATCTACTAGAAAGAGCACCTACTTACGCAAAAAAGAGGTTTGCTAGAGCTTATTAGCTAATTATTTCTAGAATTATGGCGCTGTATGGCCAAATAAAAGAATTTGATGCGAATGATGAAATCATTCAAGATTACCTAGAGAGGTTAAGCTTTTACCTAGAAGCTAACGACGTGACGATAGAAGCCAAAAAGAGAGCTGTTTTGTTAACAGTCATAGGGCCTCAACAATTTAGGCTACTAAAAGACTTATGCGCACCAGCTAGTCTAACTACCAAGAGCTTTAACGAGCTGAGCAAATTGCTAACAGACCACCATGCGCCTACCCCATCAAAGTTTCTATGTAGAGCTAGATTTGACGGTAGGACTCGTCAACCAAACGAGTCAATATCAGAATATGTTGCTGCTTTACGTCATTTAAGTGAATTTTGTGAATTCGGAGAAACGCTGTCTGACAGACTATGTGAAAAGTTTGTGACAGGTGTAAACAGCCCTGATATTCAAAGAAAGTTGCTGCTCGAGTCAGATCTAACATTAGAAAAAGCAATACAACTTGCAATTTCATTCCAGCAGTCATCTGATGCGGCGAGATCTTTAGCACCTTCAGAGATCCATGCAGTAAACAGCAGGTTAGTCAATAAACATCAACCCCTTCAGAGCATTCCAACTTATGCTAAACAGCCTGCTCGTTCAAATCCTAGATCTAAATCTAGTAATAATTATCAAAAATGTCATCGATGCAAAGGTCCCCATGCATCTCATCGATGCAAGTTCAAGTCTGCAACTTGTTATAAGTGCGGTAAGCAAGGTCACATTGCCAAGGCCTGCTTTGCAAAGTCTTCGTCTGTTGCTAAATCTAGCCAGTCAAGACAGTACCGCAACCAAAAGCAGCACTATGTTAACTCTCACCAAGACTACCTAACCCAACCAATGAACCACTCTACCTGTGAAAATGCTCAAATTGATTTGCAGCCGGATTTCAACCTGTTCTCTGTTAAATCAATAAGTCATGCTCCCATCAATGTACAAGTTAATATCAACGGTAAGAGCATCAGCTTCCAACTTGACACTGGAGCATCTCTAACAGTCATAACAAAGAAAGATTTTGACGCTGTCACAGGAGGATCAGTGTCTCTACAGCCGTGTCACAAGTGTCTAACAACATACACTGGTGACAATGTTCCGGTAATAGGAGAGTGTATGGTTCATGTAAGTTATAATGGTCAAAGTGTTAAACTTCCTCTTCTTGTGGTTGAAGGAAATGGACCGCCATTACTAGGTAGGAACTGGTTAAGTGATCTTAAGTTAAATTGGGAGAGTATTTGTTCATTGAAGAATGTAAAAGAATCTAGTCTTACTTCACTAGATAAAGTTATATCTGAAAATAAATGTGTTTTTGGTAATTCAGGTTTACTAAATGATAGAACAGTGAAGTTAAGCATTAAAGATACAAATCCAAGATACTGCAAAGCTAGAGTTCCACCTTATGCAATGAGGAATAAAATTGAAAATGAGCTAAGTAGATTGGAATCTAATGGCATTATAAAGAAGGTAGACTATTCCGATTGGGCGACACCCATTGTGCCAGTGTTAAAGAAGGATGGTTCTATAAGAATTTGTGGAGATTATAAAGCTACACTGAATAAGCAAATAGAGCTAAATAGGTACCCTATACCTAACATTGAGGAAATTTCTTTGAATTTGGCAGGAGGAGACAAATTCACTGAATTAGACTTTAGTCATGCTTACACTCAACTAGAACTGCATCCAGATTCAAAAGTCTATACGACAATAAACACACATAAAGGACTCTACCAATATGAAAGACTATGTTTTGGCATATCATCTAGCCCTGGAATTTTCCAAGCTGTCATGGACAGTATTTTTAAGGACATTCCAAATGTTTGTGTGTACTTTGACAATGTGTACATAACTGGTAAGAATGACACTGAACATCTTAAAACACTTGATAAAGTATTGAAAATTGTTGGTGAAAAAGGTTTAAAGATAAACAAAGATAAATGTCAATTCATGCTGGCAGAAATTAGTTTTCTTGGTTATATATTAAGCAAGCAAGGCATCAGACCTCAACCTGAGAAAACAAAAGCCATTAAAGAAGCACCCAAACCTGAAAATACCCAACAACTAAGAGCTTTTTTGGGCTTAATAAATTACTATGCAAAGTTCATAGGAAATCTGTCTGGTAAACTATCACCACTGTACAAGCTGC